CTCGATGGCTTCAGCCTCCCCAGGTAAATGGAACAGATTTATTCTCAGGTCCTCAGTTTTGAGAGGATCTCAGCTGGCAACATCTGATTTAGAGAGGGTCACCATTTCCATCTCTGCTCCAGGCTCTCTGGCAACTTGCCTGTCCACTGGAGAAGGTTGTTTTGTACTGTTTGGGGTTTTTTATGAGAGCTGCAAGGTAGGGTTTTGGGTAACCTATGCTTTCTTACTGCACCTATTTGTGTCTGCCCTTTGCTCCTGACATTTGGTACCACGATAGCAAAGAATAACCTTTCATTTGTGTAGTGATGCATATGATATTGTACAGTTTTCATAGTATATATATAAATATATATAAATGTATTTTATTATTTTATTAAAAAATTGGAGGTGGATGAGATCTGTGCTGGATATGGAGGCTACACTGGGACTGGGACTGCTGAGAAACATGAATAACTGGAAGAAATTAGTTAAGGGCTTGATCCAAAGGCCACTGAACCCTGTGGAAAGACTGTTGATGAGGTGATGGGCTCTGCCTTGGACCAGAGACTCCAGCAGAAGGCTGCAAGTGGCCAGATCTGCTCACTGCAGAGCATCCATCAGCCAAGCACTCCTCAGTCACTGCACACTGGCAGAGAAGGGCTGGGAGCTGCCTGGATCCAAGGGATGGGGATGGCCCCAGCAGCAGAGATGGGAATGGTGCTGGGATTTTACATGGCTGATGTGGAGAGTGTGAGACTTTGGGGCAGATGATGCTGGGTATCTTTTAGAAGTCCTTTTGCCCAGCAGCAATGTCTTCTGATCCACCAGTAAACACAAGGGAAGAGCCTGGGAACAGCAGATGCTCCCATCATCCTGAGCAAGTCTCTGAGACTCCTTCAGCTTCAGCTCTCCTCACACAGTGCTGGGCTGAGCTGAGACCTCGCTGGGCTTCGTTTCCCAGCACTGGGCACGGTGCCTGGTGCCTCACTGCTCTCTGCCAGCGAGAACAATCGTGCTCCGTGTGCTGCCGAGGGGTGTGTTTCCCTGGCGTGCTCCAGCCACACGGGAGCAGGCGAGGAGCCTGCAGAGAGCAAGGAGCCTGCCCGGAGCAGCAGCTGCCACTGCTCTGGGCTACAGCTTCCAACCAAAACAGCAGCTGCCTTGTTGCCCTGGCAGCACTGCTGACCTGGTTTGATCTGACAATGGACCTTGGCTTTTTTGGTTTGGTTTTTTTCCCCCTCTTTTATTTTCCTTTTCTCTTTTATTCCCCTTTTTGTTTTACATTTGGACTCCAAAGAGCTTACCACTGCGAGTTCCCTCTCCTCTCCAGGCTTTTCATTTCACTGGGAAGGGATGTACATCTTTGAGCCGAAGATGCACATGGGCAAGTGAAGTCTAGATTCTCCAGGACTGCACCTGGAGCTGGGTAAATTTTGCACTTGGCTCAAGAGATACTTCCTCAACACTGTGGTTTTACTGTGCCTTCAAGGAGCACTTATTTCTCCTGAGGAAATACCAGTGATGTTAGCCCATCTGCCTCCTGGTTCCCATCTCACCATTGGGGTTGGAGTTTCCTCTCCAGCTGATGTCTCCTCTTGTACAAGGGTTCTGTGACCCTTTCCTCATGCTTTATGGTCCAGGGTAGAACACGGAAAACTCCCTAAAAAGGGAGCTCCACTTCCAAGCATTTTAACCAAAGACTCTCTCCTTATCCCAGAGGAGAGCACAGCCCATCAGCTCTCTCCAGGGAATTGCCATCCCCACGCACACAGTGGCTGCTCACTAACTCATGCCTCACTCTTTCAGTTGTTTGATCTGGTCCTTAGGGCTGGTGCTGTTTCAGCCCTTGCAAGGTGGATCCAGAGGCTTCCTATTGCACTCACTCAATAAATGTTTTCCTTACAGTCTGTCTCTTCCCTTTTCTTTGGAAAAACATAGAGTAAAAAAATCCCCCCCTCAATAGCCTCCACCTGCAGCAGATGAAGGATGTGCCAGAAGCAAATTCCCAAGCAGGGACTTCTGCCAAGCATCAGTGCCTGCTGCTTCTCCACTGCCTTCCTCTCCTGTGACCACAGCTCTGGAGGCACTACTGGACCCCACAGCCCTGGGAATGGCTTGTTACACCACTGGAGTTAAACCAGTGTCCTCTGAGGAATGGCTGTGCAAATGTTTTGCATTTATTAGGCAAGTGATGCAGACAGACAAACTGATTCCCTCGGGAAGTGGGGAAGGCAGCTGCCTCTTGGAAGAAGGCAATTCCAGCCCAGGGATCCCAGGTGAGGTAGTCACTCCTCCTCTACAGGGGCAGTGCCTTTGCCCCTCCTGAGGGCTTGGTGAGGTAGAAGGTGGCTGTGCCGCTGTATTTCTCCTGGAGGACAAGAGGAGTAGTCAGTGCTGGTGCTTGGGGGTCAGGTTGGGACACACCAGAGAAAGGGAGAACAGCCCTGCCAGTCAGCCCAGCACCTGTCTGGCTCCACCACTCCAACAGTGGCCACATCAGCTGCTTTCTGGGGACAGCATGGTGTCACAGCCACTGCCTAGAGGGTCCTGTGGTCCATCCACAGCACAGGGCAGGGAGGATACCAATGCATCTCCCAGCAGCACCTTATGGACTGTTTTGTGTGGGTTTTTTCCAATCCCTTTTTGACCCTGCTGATGCTGCCAACCTCCACGGCCTTTGCAATGCCAGCAAACTCCCCCAGCCCTGCGAGTGCTTCCTCAGCTGTGACCCTGAGTGTTCCCTTGGGAACTTCAAGCCAATCTCCTGGCACTTTTCTGCTTCCTACCTGGATGTGTTGCTGGGCTCTCTCTGCAGCGTCAGCCTCCAGCAGAGTCACCGTACAGCCTCCGAAGCCTCCCCCAGTCATCCTGCTGCCATAAACCCCATCGACTTCCAGGGCTGCTGCTACCAGCTCATCCACCTCTGGGCAGCTCACTTCATAGTCATCCCTGCAGAGAGGAGAGCCATGGTCAGCACTGTATTGCACTCAAGCCACAGCCCCTGCACCACCAACTGCTGAAACTTGTGTCTTGGTGCAGCCACTGCCGTAGCAAACTGCAGCGATGTTGGACGCTGCAGATCCTAGTCCAGCTCTGCCTGTAAGCACATGTATATGTGAGGAAGGCTGTGAGCATCCTTGGTACATCCTCACCTGAGGGAGTTGTGACTCTCCACCATCAGCCTCCCAAACATGCTGTAGTCTCTGTCCTGCAGTGCTTTTGCTGCCTGGGCTGTGCGTGCTATCTCGCTGACGACGTGCCTGGCCCGTCGGTACACCTCGTCGCTCAGCTGGCTCCTGGCAGCTGTGGAGACATGCATGACCCTGCAGCAAAGCCCCCTGGCTCTGCAGGATGCTGCTGGGGGCAGGCATGGCTGCATCCTGCAACCAAACTGTGCCAGAGCTTCTCTACATGCAGCACGCTCCCCTCCTGGTGTGTGCACCCAGCCACCCATCCCAGGTGCTGCCCCACGGTCTCAGCCTGTGCCATGGGGCACCTGATGCCCTAAGGAGTGAGCAGAACCAAGGGAAGGACTGTCCACACCTTCCAGCTCAGCCATGGTAGCATCTCTCAGGCTGGTCTTGCCCAGTGCTGCTGCTGCCTCCTCGCACTGCCGCCGGCGCGTGGGATACTCGCTGCCCGTCAGCGTGTGCCGCACGTTGGAGTTGGTGATGAGGACAGCCAAGCTGGCATCACTCAAAGGGACAAGGACAGTTTCCAGGGACCTGCAGTGATACCCCAGCATGGGCCATGTGCCTGTCCCTCCCTACCCTCTCCAGCCCTCGGCTATCTTTGTGAGGCCACGTGCCAGGCAGCTCCTGAACCACACAGGCAAAGTCCAGGTGGTTTAGGATTTCACTTCTCCAAAACTACTAGCTACATAACAGACCCTAATGATTGCTGGAAAGACAGCTCAGGCAGAGAGCAGAAAGGCTGCAGGATAAGGAATCAAGACAAGCAGGAATTAAAACATAGGGAGCCCCATCCCCATTATAAGACTTTGTGCTGGGTTGGGAGGTTAACCCCTCCCCGTGCTCCTGCACTTATTTCATGCCCATAGGACCAACTCATCCCCACCTGCCCAAGGAGCTGAGCACAGCACAGTGAGCTCAGTGCTTGGCCCTGACCTGCAGTCGATGAGCAGTGCATGACCTTCCTTGCCCATCACGGATATGAACTGGTCCATGATCCCACAGGGCATCTCAGCAAACGTGTGCTCTGCTTTCTGGCATGCCAGGGCCTTGGCTGCCAAATCACCATCATCTGTGCCAGAGCAGAGAGATGCAGGTCAGCAGC